GTTCTGCTCTGGTTAGTCAGCAATTCACAGCTGCTCCTGAGCTGGGTTTTGGCACTTTATACTAACTTTAGGGTGGAATTTGTGCCATGGAAACGGAACAGCACCAGCACCAGCATCTGGCTGCTACTTTTCTGTGTCCCAGATGATAGCCTGGAAGACCTGCCCTCAGTTCCTGCCATTTCTTAAATGCTCCACTCATAGGGTTTATCCTGACCCATGTTTTGCTGGGCTGACAGAGCACCATCACATGTGCTTCACCTCATCCACCCTGCCAGGATTCCCACCCCCCGTGAGCATCCTTCCATGCCAGCAGCAGGCTTCAGCTGGCCGGGAGTTACAGGGCACACACCACAGATTGGGCCCTGTGCAAAAGGTCTAAAGCAGAGTTCTCCCTTTCTAGTTGCCATTTAGTGGCTAGCGAGAGATCGAGTCTCTGCTGAGAGCATCTGAGCACACCTTTCCCAGCTGTTGGGAGTCCCAATTGCTTGGTCTTCACCTTTCTTTTCTGACAAAGGGTTAGTTTTGGGTTGTCATTCTGGGAGAGATGTCAGAGCTGAAAATCCCTCAGCAGTTCCTGCTGACTTGCGTATGCAGCTCTCTGCCAAGTGCGGCAGCTTCTGTGACACCCCTTGTAATCCACGCATGGCCTCTGCGCAGGCATTTGTTGCTGGCAAAACAGTCTCAGCTTGGGGATTTTTTACTTAGTTTCATTTATTGCCAACTAACACAAATCTCTAATCGCTGTTGGGAAATTAAACAAACACATAAGTAAACACCTTTCCTCCGCCTTTTCCAGACTCCACTTAAGCCAGACACCTCAGTTCGCCCTGCCATGTCTCAGCTCCCCTCTACTTTCACCACAAGGTCACACTCAGTCTGTCCCAGCTACTTCTGTGAGGAAAGAGGTAGCACAGAACGTTGTGGTCATGGGTGTAATGGTTTCTGTCTGCCACTCCTCCTCACTGTGCCTGCTCCACTGTGGGTTGTCCACAGACCTCAGTCCCTTTGTGGCTGACCCTGCTCTGGCATGGGTCACCCGGGGACTACAGTCCCCTTGGGAGTGCACACCTGTGGCACAAGCACCTCCTTTCAAGAGTATATCTCCAGCTGCATGTCTCCCCAAGCATGTCGAGGTGTGTCTCCTCTCCCAGTGGCTCCTGCTGTTTCTTAAATACACTTGAGCGGAGGTGTCATGTGCTTCCCTGATGGGCTGAAGTTTCAGTGGTTGACACCATTTTCAGAGCCAGGTGGGACCATCTGGTGTGAAGCAGATCATGGCCTTCTCCCACACAGGTCACACCAGCAGCCCTTGCTACCCAAACTCAACCATCTGTGCCCAACACAGCACCTACATGTGTAATCGTTGGGTGCTCATGTAAATTATCTGGGTGCTCATGCATCAGCAAATTGGGTGCTCATGCATGTACTAACAGGGTGCTTGGTTGTAAATTATTTGGGCATGCATGAACCAATTGGATGCTTTTGCATAAATTAATTATGTATTCATGCATTAATTAGTTGGGCACTCATGCATTAATTTATTCAGTGCTCGTGCATGAACTAATTTGTGTGACGTCACACAAGAATGCAGCAAACCCAAGCAATTCATGGCCTGTATGACATTGCTCGCCTCTGCAGGGTACGTATCAAAGAACTCTGGATGTTAATCCATTTGAACTCTTTCAACATCATCACAGTCTTAATGTACATCAGTTATATACTACTCCCTGTGGACCAGACAGCAGGGATTAATACTGTAATGGTACACTTACTAAAATGTCACTCCTCCACCCTGAGCACCATATTAAAGGGGCTGTCATCATGGTTTGGTTATGTACCTATCAGAACCCACCTCTGGCTCACACCACAGCGGTTAATAGTGCAACAAGGTGTCCGTACACTTAATAAAATTCCACCCACTCTCCCATGGGAACCAGATGACAAGATTCATCAGCACGCTCTGGGCAACGTGTTATATGTGTTAAAAACTCTACCCCTTTCCCTTGGGGACTAGAGTATTGGGGTTAACGCTAATACAGCCTGAATCTATACTCATCACAAACTTAACTGCCTCATCCCCGTGGACAAGTCTACAGAGGTTAGTATTACAACAATCTGAGCAGATGCTTTTTACAAAGTACACACTTTATAATGAGTATATATTCAAACTGTTGGGACTTTCTTGGTTATGTGTTTTACAGAAACAAACTCCACCCCTCACCCCTATGGACCCCTATCAGGGTTAACATCATCATCATCTGAATACTTGGCACAAATTTTAGGACAAAACAACCAACCAAGAACATAATGGTAGTTAGGTTATTCACTGTGCTTTAGCATAAAAGCGTGTGATAAAGATCATAGAAGCAAAAACTACCACCACTGTTGAAGGTACTAATAGGGTCGTGAGGTCAGTGGCTGCAGGTCTTCATTTACATCCAAAATGGTGGGAGGTGGGGCAGTGAACAGTGCTCACATGCAGCAGCGTGGGCATTTCCCCATTTGGGGAGTAAGCTGACACACCAAAGAGCTTGGCTGTGTTGGGGCTTGCTCCACAGCCATAACAACATTGGCTGAGCTCTGACCTTTTTGTTGCACTTGCAGTTCCTTCACTTGCAGCTCTAGCTTTCTGTCCCACTTCCATCCCACTTCTGTCCCACTCCTCCTTTTCCTTCTGGTATTCCCAGCATGTACGGTGGGAGCATGGAGAATTTTCAGCCCTTCTTGACACTTTTTTCAACGATGGGCGTAATACTGGACTCTTGGCATTTTCTGTGGAGCTCATCTCACACCTCTCTTCCAGCATGCTTCTCCCAGTACGATATCTATAGGTTACTCCTTGATCGACAGGACATCCTACCAGCTTATCAGCTGATACTAGAGAAACAGTAGCAACTGTCCATCCATCAGAACTTTGAGGCTGTGACGTTAGGTGTTCACCACTTTTGTAGGTTTTGGTCTCCAAAGCCAAAAGTGGCATCCTACAAGCTCCAGCTTCCTAACAAACACCACCATAGCCACTGCAGGGGCATCTCCCAGGGGCAGTGGCTGTAAATGTCCCACATTTCTGTAATTTTGCTGTGAAAAAAGGCTGGCCAAGTGTTCATGCTTTTGGGAGCAGTGTTCCCATCTCAGCAGGTCTGTTGAACCACTGTAACTGGGGCTGTGTTTGTTTGCAGTCAGCTCTCTGCTATCAACACTATCTTGCATCCCACATGATGCGCAAACATCAATTAAGAGGGTACTCACGTTTGAACTTAATGGGGCATTCATGCATAAATCAATTGGATTCTCATGCATGAACTGAACGGGCAGTCATGTGTGAATGCAGTAAGCCCTGCATTTCTTGCCCAATACAGCATGCAGAACTCTTCAGGTGGCAGGATCTGGTAGGTAAAATTGGCACTGATTTCCCCAAATCCCAGACATGCACTGTCTCTCAGAATCTCATGGGAGGCTCTGTGGAGGCAGAGCTGAACCTCCTGATTTTGAATGGAAGAGGTGGGCATGGCCGAAAACCAAGCTGCAGAGTGGTAACATGACTACTTCTGTGTCGTTCTGTGGGCCAGGCCTTCTCTTTCTGCTGGCACTGGAGCTGAAAATAAAAGCCAGTGAACTCTCAGCAGTGCAGGCCCTACAGCGCATCACTGCGCCCCATGCAGTCTGCTAGATGGCAGTGGTACATTGGTTTTCCATTGGCCACTTATTACAGCATTTATTTAAGAGTTTCAAGAAAGAATCAATTACTCATCAGATGTAGGGAGATTAATCATGGGTCCTTATTCACATGGCATATTAACACTTCTCCTTTATTGTCTCCCTAGGGCTTTGACCTCGATTTTAAACTAACAAAGTGAAATATAGCCAGGCTCATGCTGAAGTACCTCCACATAGCCACTGTTCCTGTTGTTAATGATTTGCAAATGGAGCCTCCAAACAGGCATGCTCTTTCTTTCTTGCAGTATCCCCTAGACAACTTGTTTAAGGGAGAAGTAAATAAAGCCTCATTTACAACAATGACAGATCCCTGCCGTGATTTCTGCTTCCATTTTGTAGGAGAAAAGGAGAGCAATCCCCTCTCCCCTCTGCATTTCTCTTAGACCCCCTTCTCAAGGCCCACCTCTCCAAAGGAGCTAGCCTGCCGTGCAGAACAAGCTTGCTTTAAAGCCTAGCGAGATCAGCTGGTGATGGGGAAACTCCACTGCAGGAGGAATTGCTGAGCATGAGGCTGGAGAAAGCTGAAGGGGAAGGAGTGAAAGTTACTTGCCTGGCTTCTTCCATCGAGTAACTCTTCAGATGTGCTTTTGGGAACAGTGCAGTCTGTGCTGGCATGCACCCTTACTTGACAGTATTCACAGCACTGCTATTTTTTCTGGCCCTTTTGCCTGGCTCTGAACTATGCTAGCTCCCCCTTTAGCTTCAGGGGACAGCTCTGCAGAGGGTTTCTGTGACAGGTTTCCCACTCCATCTCTGTGGGCTCTCGAGAATCAGGCTGGTAGGAGACAGCTGAGCAGTTCCATCTGCGTCTGGTCAGTGACATGGGACACAGCCCAGGGACTGTGAAGTCTTTGTAGAGCTGTGCTGAGTCGTGCCCGCTGAGCACCAGCTCCAACATTTCTGTAAGCTGCCTGAGCCTGGCCATTCCTTATATTTAAAGCTTGCAGCTCTCAAGGTCAAATTTACCTTTCAATAAACCGGAAAGTTTCACTTGCTTGTACGCAGATGGTGCAGGGGAGGAAGGGGCAGAGCTGTAAATATACTCATGTAATATTGGGGTACCTAAAAGATTTATCTGCTTCTAGTTCCCAGTATTGGTGTTGACTGGAGTTGAGGCATTTCAGTGGTTCAGAGCACCAAGTAGCAACAGGCAAGCAAGCAGTATAGCTGGGGGAATGTGTGTAAACTGCAGCATGTGGAGTATTAAGCTCCACATTGCTCCAGTAAACACACTGTTATGTTTTGCATCTAGACATAAATGCAGCAACCGATCTCTTCTCCAGGGCTTCGGAGGGCAGAACTGTGGAGGTACCATACAGAGGGGACGTGGAACTCACCATCCTGGATATCCTCGGAGGGCTGCGCTCCACCTGCACCTACGTGGGAGCTGCCAAACTCAAGGAACTGAGCAGGAGAACAACATTTATCCGGGTCACGCAGCAGCACAGCCAGGTCTTCTCTTAGCCCAGGACTGGGGGGGGCTGGAGAGAGAGGGGTGGGGGAGAGGAGCAGGAAGGGTAGCTGGTTTGATTTGCTTTCTCCATGTTGTCTTAGTGGCAAACTCTCCTCTCTCTCAGAATGGCAGCAACATAGCCATTGGAGGGGCTATGTCTGGGGTTTGAGTGGGGAAGGTCGTACTATTAATGCAGTGCCATTTGTTCAAAATGCAATAGCCTCATCTTTTATTGTTGTGCCTATGTTATTTTTTAATCAACATTTCTTCACCTCTTTTTCTCCTCCTCTGATAAATAGCTGCTGAAACCTCAATTAACAAGGAATAGGCTTGTACAGGCAGGGCTGTTAACGCCTGCACACATACACACTTGCTGTTTTTTAAGACTGGCCTGTCAGCTACCGCCACTTCTGGCAGTTCACCCTCCAAACATTGCAGGCTGGGAGATAAAAAGATACAAGGAATTGCGTGGAGAAATCACCATTCAAATTCTCTTAATCTTTGTCCTGGCAAAAGAATGGATGTTTGTGGTGTGGCTGCCAGCCTGCAGAATGTTAGTTAGAGGTGGATGGTGGATGAGGCCAGGCTACTGGTGACTTCCTACTGTGATGTTAAAAATGCCAGATCTCTCTCACTCTCAGTTCACAGGGCTGGTACTGCTGTTCTTACTTAAATCTCCTTATTTAGTGAACTTGCCTCTTCAGAGAAGTTGGCGTTGAATGTAGCAAACCCGTGCTGTCCCCCCTGCCCCCATCTGCAGAGACTGTTCAGGAGAAAACGTCTCAGATCTTGCCTGCTTTTTTGTGCATGCAGTTACTGAATTACCTGGGTTCCTGCTTTGCCTGCTGTCTGTGAACAGATTTTTAAGACACTGAAACTCGGCAACAGTAATCCCCTCCAAGGGGGGGCATTTCTCTGCTGCCCTCCCTGTTCTCTTGCCTCTTCATATCCATTTAGCAAAGGTGTACAGATGCCGTGCTGTGCATTGTATGTGGCCAGGGGAATGAGGCTGGAGGGATCAAATTCACTTTTGGTTATTTGGTACCACTCCTTTGCAGTGCTCGACACCATAAAAAGCAAAAGAGAGCTTTCAGCAGAATAACCCAATCCCAAGACACTGGTAGGCTGAGAGTGGAGTTAAAACATTTGCTCTAAAGGCAGTAATGAATGTTTAAGACTCTGGGTAACACTTTAATAAAGTGTAATGGCCCACTAATTAATTGATAAATCACAATGAAATTTCTTTGAAAATACACATTGCATCCACATGAATCCCACAGTAGCTCGTTATGATAAACGATGTAAAAGTGAGCTCCAATGAATTAATAATGCTTGGCCACTTACTTTTAAAGTGCTGCTGAGATCGCAATACAGCTAATGTTACTTCAGTACTTCAGAGTCTTACTTTCCCCTTGTGTAGATACCTGTGGAAAGAGGCAGGCTTCCTTTGAAAAGCAAAACAGCGAGCTGTAGGAAGAGGCATAATAAAGAGATTAACTCCAGAATTAAACTCCTGTGCTTGACTGCTCAGAAAGCCATGCACAAGGATTGGTACAGCTGACCATGCTGAGGAGCAAGTCTAAGCCACAAGCTGATCCCTGGTGATTTTGAAGTGTGTTGTGCACATTAGAAAAAGCACAGAATGTCTTCTAAATAGCCTGGTATTTTAAATGGCTTCCATTTAACATGCAGGACAAAATTCTTTCTTGTGGTATGACCCCTTCATCTGCTCTGGAGGTGAGTAAGGGCCTTAATGTGAGCACAGGTTATGCTTGTGCTGGCTTTAAAGACCATTTGTCCTGGCCACATACCATAAAGGAACCTGCACACAGGTGCAAGCAGGCCCTGGGAATAAAGGACCTGATCTCTCTTCAAGCCTCCAGCCAGAAAGCATCACGTTAAGAAGACACTGAGCTTCTTTACAGCAAACCCTACTTTGGGCCACATACTGCCCAGAGTACGGGCAGTATTACTGCTCCGCATTGCTACGGCTGTAGGGGGTCACTGGTCCTTTATGTTCGCCATGTGAAGGGCAGGGCCACATGAGCAGGTGAACACCTCCAGCAGGAGTGGGGTCAGACCGCTGCAGCGCAGCCCTGACCACAGGGCTGTCTCCACACTCGTGCCTTCATATGTGGGAAGCACAGCAGTCTGCTGGTCTCACGCCTACTCTCGCTAGCGCTTTTCTACTTTTTTTAGCTACATTTCTAAATGGAATTTAAGAAATACATATACATATAAATATATATATTTGTAAACATTTTTTAAAAGCTCATAGGCACGCTGAACAGAGCAGCTTCATGACATGTCTTCAGAACAGTTTCTTTCCCAAAGGGCAGGTGCTGGGGGCAAAAAGCGGGGTGGCTTCTCCACAGGCGTGGCAGTGTGAGGCCTTGGCCCCAGGCAGGCACCACACTTACATGGCCAGCCTGGCCCGGGGCCGAGGTGCCACACACAGCCAACCTACCACTGACTGACCAGTGACTAATAGGGAAGGCTGGCGATAGGCAAATCTTAAGTTGTCCCTGGAATTTTCCAGGCTGTAAAGGACATAGATGCTAAGAATGGTTACTGACAAAGCTTCAAAGCTTTGACTTAAGAGTATTTGGTTTTCCAAATAGCAGCTCCTACCATCATTTTGATAAGCAACATGTTCTCTTTCTATTTGATTTTTCTCCTTCTCTCTCCAAAGTGAGTGGGAGAGAGAAATTGGCTGCAGAAAGGCTGAACTGGTGGCTAAACTGGGTGTTAAAGGAGGCTTAAGCTCGTCTTTTTTTCCATTTTGTAGCATGTCTGCATCTCACCCAAAGTTATATGTGAGTTTTGTTCAGGGATGATCCTTGGCTCTGTCAGCGCTCACCATTCACACAGTAAGTGTCTAGCTTTCAGGCTGCAAAATGGAAAAAAAGAGGAACTTGAGCCCTTCTGTAACACCTAGGCCTGTGCTCCAGTAGTTGCCCTAATCTTCGCTCAGCCCCAGGTCCTGTGCCACTCTGGCAGGGAACTGGGCTCTGAGGGTGCTGAGGGCACGCTGTGCCTGGTGGGGTCCCAAGCAGAGACCACAACCACTGACAAACACCTTGTGCCGTTTGTGGATCTACCTCACCTGCACATGTAACCAGGTTCTCCGTTACTTGGTGCCCTTCTGTGGGACGCGTCATTGGAAAGCACATCGTGTCGGGTGATTGTGCATGACCTGGGCTCCTTTAACCCCACCACCCAACGCCACCCTGTCCAGCGGGCTGCCGTGCTTGCGACTGCCTGTGCTGTAGGCCAAGTTCATGCCTGCTTCCCCCAGCCAGGCAGCTGTTGAGCACCCAAGAGCAATGCTGAGAGCAATGCTGACGTTTGGCTCCCTGGGCTGGCTCCGCAAGTCACTTGAGTTTAACACACCAAAGACCTACAAGCAGGGATGCTGATAAATCATAATGTTACATCATTAAAGGACTCCCTGCTGAGCACGTCCATCTCTGGCTTCTTGAAACACAGGGACACCCAAAACACCCCCCACTGCTCCCAGCTGTATTCTGGAGTTGCCTTGCTGCAGCACGTTGTGCGGGCTGGGCTGGCTGTCCCTCCTGCTCTGGTGGCCTGGCTTAGCGGAGCTCTACGGGGTGAGGGAGGCCTTGGCACAGCAGCAGACTTGCTCACACCCCAGCGGCTGCATGCTGGCTGCGAGGAGTGCACGTGTAGCCCCCCTCGCAGGCATGAGGCCTGCCTGTGACAGGAGCAGGCCTTGAGCCAGCATCCTTCTGGATGCAGGACCAGCCACCTGCGTCTCCGCTCTCTGAAAAAAAGTGCAGGTGCCCGGGGGTTGCTCACTGGCTCACCCCCATCGGCCATGGGGCAGAGGCTTCAGCTGTGCTCTGCCCTGCAGCTGTCTTCTCACCTTAGGGCATGGCTGGGGGTGAGCGTAGGATGGGGCCACGCTGTAAATGTAAATGGGTTGTAAGCAGGGGCAGGAGGAGCCTTTGCTTACATTTGGAGGAGCCTTTCCAGCACAAAGCGTGCCTATGCGTGTCTTTCAGCTAGTCAGTAGTGGGGGGAGGAAGGATGGGGGTGAGCAAGAAACACAGCAGCAATTAGCTTGCTCCACTGTGCTGCGACAGGGGCTGGTGTTTTTCAGTTGTGGACATAAGGAGAGTTTGAAGCATTTTCTGGACCAAGCACTCCCTGGTTTATACTCGTCGAGCTCCACTGTCTTGAACAGACTTGCTGCTACAGCTTCCTGCCCGTGTCCATCACCGCCTCCACCCCGGGGATGTTGGTTTTTAGTTGCTAATATCAGTTTTATACCAAAAGGTCTTTGTGGGAGCCAGGAGGGCTTTTGTGACCAGTGCCAGGTTTGACCTTGTTTATGTAGAATGGGGGAAAAAAAAAAGCTGAGGCCCAAGAGCAGCAGTTTGCCTTCTGCAGCGGCCAGAGCCAGCAGGCAGGAGAGGGCAGGTCCCTTCCCTGCCCACTGGGAGCTGCCCAGGAGCAGAGTGGCCAAAGCTCATCTGGGTTAGATGCTGGCACAGCTCTGCGCCCTTGAACACAGCATGGATACTCCCGCAGCCTTTGCTTTGCCTGTGGTTGTTCAGCTGTTTAAGCGAGCCCTCCCCAGCATTTACTTGACACAATGTTTACTGGTTGAAGTTTTCATTCACAAATAAGTAATTCATAGTCCAAAACTCCTTGGTGTTGCCTGCGATAACTGTGAAGCGCTTCTGCATAATCGGCCAAAAAAGGGCTGATGAGGTTCCATGTTCTCCTGCCCCACTCGGCCCTGCTGTGGTGGCGATGCCGAGTGCTGCCTCCCCTCCCCTGTGGCAACCGCGCGTGCGCGACGACTCCAGCGCAGCTGGCACCGGCCTTTAACGTGTTCAGAAGCTGTAAATGGAAAAGTTTTTGTTATGCAATAAAGAGCTTCACTCTGATGGTCTGGAGAGGGTTTTATGGCTACGGATGGGTAGGTGCGCGTTTCTGCATTGTCGCGAGTAAAAGCCAACGCTCTCAAATGTGTTGCCGAGGGGGGGAAATTAAATTGGGCAAATTACTTCCCTAGGAAAGCTCTCTCCCATTCAGTCATAACTCATAAAAACAAAACACGTATTTGCAATTGGCACTGTTATTTTATTAGTACGAGTATACTGAAACAATAAACTTGTACTGGTATACAGACAATTTCTTTAAAACAATTTTGTTCAAATTTTGAATCAAACATTGTTTTATTATAATAATGAAATAATTTCTACCTAGAAAACCTGCAAGCACCATCAAAGAAAGGGACCATAAAATTCAATAAACAGACGCGAGTGTATCCTACAAATAGACACACCACCATTAGAAAATAGAATATGAATTCTTCCATTTTTTTTAATATTTGTTTTAAAAAAGCTAGTGCAAGTACAATATTTTACACTGGAATTACAGAGAGTATGCACGCATATGGAAAAAAGTTCTCCTGTCACAATAAAAGCTCTTAACTATGTCTGTATGCACTTAAAATCTTCTCCTCTTTTCAATAAGGTGCAAAACGTTATTCCCTCCCTATTTCTCCTTTGTACTGGCCATGTCAGCTCGATTTCTCCCCAACACAAAGCTGCGATATCCCTTTTACTGGGCCTACACTAGGAACTACACTGGAAGTGTTATTTGCAACAACCCTCACTAGTAATACCAGACGAATTAAAAAACAAAACAAAACAAAACAAAAAGACCTTAAAAACTACTGCTGTAGAATGGCTAAACTTTACCCCAGCACGGCCAAGCGCCGCCGCTGGCTGCCGGGAGCGGTGACATAGCTAGTACAAAATGATTTTCAGTAGCTCACCCGAACTGAAAAAGGTTGGGAAATTCCCCCTCCCCCCCTTTTGTAACACTGTGAAAAGAACAGTGTTCAACAAGTTAATATATTATTCCAACAAAACATAAAAAAAAAGAGCAAATACATACATTAGTGAGTTTCAACATTAGCTGACTGTCGTGAAGAGTCGTATCTACGCCTTAACAGATTAGTAACTTTGCTAGGAAGCCAGCCCGATGGCCAGGCAGCAAACACAGACTGAGCCACCCGCAGCCACCCCTGGCTCGTTTCTGCCCTCAGCTACACGGATCCAAACCCGACTGACTTGGACAGGAGTTCTCAGAGTGTGTTCAAAGGGAGAGTAGGTGGGTCCTGGATTTTTAAAGCAAATGCCAGGGCGGGATCCCCTCGCCGGCTGGTGTGAAGGGGCAGAGTAACGCTGCCCAGGGAGCCGGCGGTCCCACACCGGCTCCGTGCCGGCCGAGGACCTGGGCCCTGAAGTTTCTGCTCGTCAGCAATCCCGAAGTACAGCCACGACAGCTTCAATGAGTGACTAACGCTCGCGGCAAACAACACTTCCAATGCATACCTACTGCGTGGTCAAGGGAAAGGGCACAGGAGCTTTGACTGCTCAAAATAGAAACGAACAAAAAAGAAACAAGCTTGGATGAAGCCTCCATAAAATCCTCAGTGGAAGACTTGAGTCCTTTCAGCTAACGACAAGAAAAAAACTACAGAAACCTTAGAGACTGTTATTGTATAAATACTACCTGTTGGCTGAATGCACTTCATTGTAACACAGCTGGGGCTGGTTTTCTGAGCGCCTGTGGAGTCACTTGGACAGGGGGAGTCTTTCTGCCCCGTGTGCCTGCGGGAGCCAAAGCTTGAGTTACCTCCAGGGAGGGGGACGGGGGCAGCCTGAAACTTCACCCGCTTTGCCCTGCCGCTGGCTCCCAGCTGCCCAGCTCAATCTTTGGACAGGAAAAGGACCCTCTCTCTCAGAAACTGCCTCAGGATCCTCTCCTTTTGGCTTCTGAAAAACACTGGTCTCGCCATCGGCCAAGACCATGACTGGAAACGTGCTCTGTGTGATGAAATGCTCCCCGGGGGATCTGAAAGCAGAGGTGGGGGAGAGGGGGCAGCGACAGGGGCTGGAAGGCAGGGGCGCCTCGGGCATCGCTCTGCTGCTGGCGCTGGGCTAGGATCCCTTGTTATAAGCACTTCTTGCTCAGGGTTATACTCTTTGGGTTTCGTCTGGAACAGGAAGTGCTGAAAAAACGTGGAACAGCATCCCAGAGAGAGGAAAAAACGGGACCGAAAGGCTTGAGGCGGGAACTAAGCAGGAACTAAGCAGGTCGCGCTCAGTCGGCAGCGGCTCTCCACCCCAGGGCGGCTGCGGCGTTGCCGGCCCCAGCCCCGGTAGCGCCCCGACACTGGGGCCGGCCTGGCCCTGCCTGCGAAGGTCATGGCCGGGCCCTCCCTCAAATCTGGCCCTGCCCTGCGGGCTGCCAGGGGCTCCCTCGGCACAGGGAGGACAGACTTAAAGCCAAAACACAGCTGGAGAGTGAGACTCTAGTTTTGCACAGTAGCCACCCTTTGAAGTGCCCAATAGCTGCACTCGAGAATTGCTGCTCCAAGGTAAGTTTTCAGCACAGGAATAAACAGTGTGAAGCATGACTCCATTCCCCAGAAATGGGACCCATGTAATACGAACAGAAAATTAAGCACAGTTGTTCTTTAAGAGCCTTTTAAGTAATAATTCTTCCTGGCCAAAGCCAATACAAATCAGATCATCTAGACATGACATTTTCTATATACAAAAAACATGTAACTTTCAACCTTTCTCTGCTTTTGTATTTAAAAACTTTTTTTTTTTTTTTTTACAAACAAGGTATGAAACTCACTGTTCAAACAGAGCCATCTCTTTTTCAAACACTGAATGAATCATTCCAACATTCATTTTTCTTTTGTGCAATTTTTAAAACATTACCTGTACTCCTCAATGTGAGTGCTTCAAAAAAAGTTTCTATTTTTAATAAGCTTCTCAAATTAGGTTTACATCAAAAAATATTCCCACAAGGTATAGTGCTACAAGAAAAGATCCTATCAGTAAAGGTAACACATCTGAAGCGAGGTCGTCTATGTAAAAGAAATTGAACTCTGGAGTAGAGGTGTGCAACGCGTTTGGAATTTCCCTATCGACACAAAGCAAGGCTGTCTTCAGGACAGGGAATCAAGTGGACATGTAGGCATACGTGTAAAAAAAAATCACACATATTTATTTGTGTGCAAACAGACACTTCTGTCTGGGGGGTGTGTGTGCACGTACGCTTATCTGCATCAACTAATTCTCATTTTGCTATGTATTTCAGGATTTGGGGGAGCAGGAGGGTTGGATAAACCAGACGAAAGGAAATTGCTGCCTGCACTCTAGTGGTGCGTTCATCCTCTTTGCTTTTCACATCAGCACCGGCCAGAGCCCAGAGCGGACTCTGCTGTTACCTGTGATGATGGGGAGGGAAGAAATGGAAACTATTTGTACGAGTACATGTCCCATTTTGCCATTTGTCAAATTCCTGGGACAGCAGAAGTGTTTCAATGAGCCAAATCCCCCTGCCCACCTGGGGCTTCCGCCCTGGCAAAGCTGGGCAAACCCCAAGATTTTCCCAGCTGCCTGATTAAAGACAGGATCTGGCCCTGACTGAAGCAAGCTTCAATTTCCCAAAGGTTATACATGTGCTTCACAGCAAGCTCCCGAGCAGCCTTCACTGGCCAGCCCAGACCTCCCTGAAGCATGCGTGTAAGTGTTTGCAGAACGGTTCCATGACACGCAGAGCACTGCACCAAGAGCCCCCCTCTTTGAAATAACACTATTAGTGTTTAAGAATATTGAGGATTCACGCTCCTTGATACAGACTTTTTTTTTTTTTAGCAGTTGCAAGTATTAACAGAAATTCACCACTTCCTTTTTACTATTGGCAACACACTTTAAAGTAAAAATAAATCTCTGCAGAGAGTGAATTTTCATGATAACCAACAGCTACAGTTTGTGCTGAGCTTGCTGCTTTTGTATTGCAATCTAAGTGAGATCTACAAAGTTTAAACCATGAGATGCAGGAAATCCAAACTTGTCTGTAACATTGTACATCCCTACTCCGGAGCAGTAAAAGTGCTGCTTCTGGTCACATCAGTGTACCACACATATGCCAGCCCCATCCCTGAGTAAAAGGTGTGAAAGGTTTCTAAATGTTCCTTGATTTAAGGGAAACAAGAGCAGTGATGTCACTTCCCCGTGCCGAGAAAATGACGGGAACGACAGGTCGAACGAAGCGACAGCGGGATGAAGGAATTAAAGGAATAAAAAAAGGAACGTGTGTCCCCTCCCTCCTCCCGAGGTCTGCATCTTCAAGGGAAAGTGAGCCCAAGGGCAATGTACGAAATGGTAAAACAGGTCAACAGTGACTCCGATTTGGGTCTCAACCAGAGGACTCGAGGTAAGTGACATCAAACTCAAATTCCCCGCGATGTGGCCCAGACAAACTGAAACAATGCCTAAGTTAAACACTATAAGGAACAGTCATTTTATATATATATATAGATAGATTAGATAGATAGATAGATAGACAGATAGATAGATTTTTTTTTAGAAATCCCTATAAAGAGGTTCTTGTTTTATTTTTCTTTGCCCTGACTAATTTCTTGGTGATTGTATGCGGTTTTGTTGTAAACTAAACAGGCCTGCTACAAAAGAAAGAAAACAAAAAAAAGACAGAAAAATAAAACTACCGTTGGTTACTATTGCAAAGTGGACGCTGCGCAGAAGCAGCGGCTAAACCTCCTCCATCGGCTTCTCCTCAGCATCTCTGTGCCCGCGAGTGGAATTTCTGTGTGTGCCCGGGGATCGATGGCCCTTCCTCAGGCACGGGGACTCGCTGCAAGGGATGCTCAGTGCTGTGGGGAGAGGAAAAGCCCCCCTTTGCAAAGGACTTGGTCCCAGAGGGGATTTTTCTCTCCCTGGTGGGAGTCAGGTCTCACTGGCGTGTGGCCCAGGCGGAGGGCGGCACTGGGCTGTATGGCTGAGCACCGCCCTCCACCTGGACGGCACGTAGAAGTTAATACATCTTTTTTTTTTAATCTTTTTTTCTCCCTGGATCTTTTTTAACATCAAATACAAAAAGGGTTCATGTTTCGTGGGACAAGGGATGCTTGACCCTTAATACGTTCTCTTTTTTTTTTTTT